TCCCACTGACTGCTACTTATACAACTTACACCATGCAGTTTTACCATTGCTTGCTCCTCCTGACAAGGACTGGGGATGGTAACATGCTGGCTCATAGAGAACAGGCAACTAAACAGGCCTCCAGATATTATGCCACTGAATACGTTGGTGCTGCACCTGTATCTTGAATACTGTGTGCTGTTCTGTTATTCTTACCAATTTCATAAAATGATCTGTTAAAATGAGAAAAGATACTGAAAGTCGTTCATGTGAATGTACTTCTCTACCTATGCCATTCTGTTAATCTTAGCAGCTGAAAGCTAGCAGTAATCTGGAATTAAAGTCAATATATTTGACTTATTTTTTTTAGGAAGTCTAAATAATTTTGTGTTCTGTCTTTCTGAAATTACTGAAGAGGCTGTAGGAGAGAGCTGTGAAACAATTACTTTTCTGAAGAAGATGAATAAGGAGCAGTCGCAACACTTTGTAAGTCAAAACCTGGAATTAAATTGCTAGAAGAAGATTTAAAACATCAAAGGAAATTCTTTTTCATGCAATTCATAGATAAATTTAATCACTTTTTTGCTGCAAAGAAGTTGCATGGCAAAACTGTGAATGAGATTTAAGAGCAATTCTGGCAAGGATATTAGAAGACATGAATCCTCAATCTGATCCCAAAAGGCAATTTTCATGTTCCTGTGACTTGTACCCCAACAGCAGAAAGTACTGCTGCATGTAACTTGCAGAGCACATCCTCATATATTCAGTGCTACTGGAGTGCATATATTGTACTGTAACATGATTTATAGCATCCAGATATTGTTACTGGTATCTTGGCATTTAAGTAAAAAATAGAATATTGAAATGCATTTTGTACAAATCTTGTTTAATTATTGCAAGATACAAGTGCACTGAAATATATCCGCCTCTAAATCAGTACTATTAAAAAAAATCATTATTAGTGTAAATCTATATACAGACCATCACTATAATTTAAAAGCAGGCTTCAAGACAAATTCCGATTCATTTAATGCAGGTACATAGATTTTAGTCCATCAATTTTATTTTTGAGTCTGCTTTTTTATACTGGTGCATTTGAAATTCAAATGGAGCTGTAGTAGAATTACATCTCTGTAACTGCTGTTAACTAGAAACACCGAGAAATCCTTGCTGTCACTCAGCAGGAGGTTTTCATTCATCCCCTGGACCAGAACCTTATTCTCCCCTTGAATAGTGCCAGGGTTTTTTCTTCAATATGCAGGTGTAGGACACACTTCTTAAGGAATGAATGAGAATTGCTGAGCAGGGCACAAAAGCTTCCAAATTGAAAAGTACCTAGCTCATGTTACTGTCTCTGGGAGTATTTATTGGGCACCTAGCACACAATAAATAATCCTTTGTGATTGAAAAATACCTAGATACTTGGTATGAAACATGTAAACAATGGAATTAGGTTTTTTATTTCCTATACAGGCATCAAACTGTGCAATGAAACAAAAACTGTGGTACCATTTGGCGTGCTTTTTTCTTCTTTGCTGCTACTTAATCTTTCTTATCCAAGCTACTTGTACTCCAGTCACCAATCTGTCATGTTAAACAAGGGTTCACTGGACAGACACCAGCAGTGCAGATACACAGTGGCTGCCCCTTCCCTGTCCCTTTAGGAACTGCAGTCCTGCTCCAGGCTGAAGCATCATCCTTGTTGTGCAAGGCACCCTGAGACTCCAGCGCCATCACCTACTCAAGAGTATTACCCTTGCCTTCATGAGTGCATCTGTGGTGTGAGGAGGGCATGGTGCAGGCTCTCCTTGCCTGGGGAAGGGTCCAGCCCCTGCTGTACCTGGGCTCCTGTGCCCATCACCATGGTGGCTGTGGGCTGTTCTGCCCTCCCCAGGTGCTGAGGATTGATGCACTGTGACCTGTTGTCCCCCTGGCTCTGGCCTGATCCCTCACCAGCAGGGAGGTAGCCCTAGGAAGCAGTCCCTGGAGACCTGACTCCAAGTGAGGCCCACATCTGTTTCCATGGGTGCAGTAAGTCTGCTGGAGACTGCCCATTGACAAGTAGATGATTTGTCTTTAGGAAACTAGAGTTGTAGACACCCTCACTTTTTGGGTTTCAGATGCTGTTTGCTGCTTCAAGGGGTCTTTATCCAAAAAGGCAGCTTCTGGCAAACACTTGTAGGCCTTCAGGGTCTTTCAGTCCATGGAAGTCATCTGAGGACATGCAGGTCTTTTTGGAGAGTTACTTTTTCTGCTGTTCACCCAGTAATTTTGTTGAGATTTTGTGGGTATTTTTGGTGCTGGCAAAAGATACAGAATAAGGGAGCCCCAGACAAAAGTCTGACTGGTGTGCCTGTTGGAGCTGTCTTGATTTCTGCGGATCCTCCAGCTGCTGGTTCCATCTGCTGTCTCCTGCTTTTTCTGTCACTTGTAAACACCTTAGGGCACAAGCCATTTCTACGTGTGCGAATCCTGGGGGACCAGTATGGTGCAATACAAATCCTCAGTGCTTCAGCAAAACATACAATATTAAAAATGCTCAGCAAGAGGTTTCTGTACATTTCCAACCACATCTGAAAGAAACTTCTAATTAATGAAGAATCAAGGGTGGTGCAGTGTTCATTAACACTCTGGTTAAACACATATGGCAGCTCTGATTTGTGTACTGAGGCTCTTTCTATTGTCACTTTAATAGTATTCTTTTTCCCAACCATCCCCTAAAGACAGTATCTGAGTGTCTGATTGAAGATGCTTGCCTGTGCATGCTCGCTGGTGCATGCTGATCTTCTGAGTAAGAACTGAGCCGGTGGACACTGGCTCTGAATCACCAAGGGTTACTTGTTCAACAACATTTTGCTCCTGGCTCCTCCTCTTGACCTGCCAGCTGCTCCTCCCAGTGTGACTTGTCACCATCTCTCTTCCCCTTCCCAGTCTGGAATCCCATTTCTCACTCCTCCTCCCTTGTCTTTCCCAACAGACTTTCAGCTTGATTGTTTTGTGCCCTGTCATGCCAGTGTGGGAGCATATCCAGCCTCTGCCAGGCATCTCCATGGCCTGGGTACAGTCTCTTGCTGTTGTCATCTGCAATGGTGCAACATGCTACCTTGCAACTGGGAGGCAGCTCACACAGGCAGGCTCAGAGACTGGCTTCATCCTTACGCATTGACTTCATGGAAAAGTGTGGCTGTTTGGAATTGCCAGTGTATCTGAAAAGGTGTTACGTAGGTAGTGCTTGTTAGATGTGCTTATGTATTGATTTTCATACAGGAAAGAGAATGAGCTTTATTTTTCTTGCCTATTCTTACATTACACAAAGTTCTTCCACAATTAATGGTACATTGTCTAATTATGAAACACTCTTCTAACTGGCATGGTTATATTTTGTGCAGAAAAAGCCTAGCAAGTTACAGAAAGATTAAAGATGGGAAGATATGACTGCAGTGTCATTGGGTTACAGATCAAATGGTGTGGTTTTGACATTTTCAGCAGCAACAAGAACAGTAATGTTGTTAAAAAAGTTCGCAAAAGCACATCCAGTTTTGAAGCAGCCACATGGTGAACATCAGGACTTCCTCAGGCCTTGCAAACAAGCTGTCTTGCCAGTGGAGGCTCTTTTTGAGATGGATGGAGATTAGAAGCAACACTGCAGCTGCAATACATGCTCTGTTTTTTATCTACCTGCTTAGGCCTGGTAGCTTATTTTATTTTAAAACACGGTTTCTAAATGAACAGATTCGATAGCTCGGTGCACCTAACTACGAGTGCAAGAACATAGGAACATACTGCCAAGTTTTGCTGAAAGGCTGAGGAAAAAAAAACAACCAAAAACTTATGTTTTGCTTGGGATTTATTTGTAGCAGTATTAATTATGTTATTTATTTGGTAGCAATGGCATTGTAGGTGGTGTGAAAATATAAGATGTGGTAAAGACTTCACTCTTAGCACGTGATTTTCATGCTTCCCAAGGTTTGAGTCTAAGGCTTGTGCTTTGTCCGTCACTCTGTTTTTGTTTTGTTTTGTTGGTTTTGGATTTTTTGCTACAACAAAGAATATGTTTGTTGGTGCTTATGGCAGGTCTGAATTTGGTTAAAAAGTGCCCTGGAGATCTCAGCCAAGTTATTGTTTCACTGGAGCATTTATTAGCTTTGTCTACATTTGAATTACTTCTCTCAAGGTCAAATTAGGTCAACTACACTACAAAACGCATCCAAAATAACAGCCATTTGAACATTAGTACTAAGTTCTCTTTTGCATTATACAGACCTCCAAAACCACTGTTTCCAGTTGCAGGCCTCTCTGCTGCAGGTTGCCATCCCTATAGTGACTGGATGCCACATATCCCCACTTAGGTGAATAGCGTTTGCTTCAGTCCACAGTGTGGCATCTCAGTTTCAGCTGCAAAGGCTTTGGCTTAGGATGCCAGGCTGTGGACTGGAACAACTGAGGCACAGACAAATGCTCTTCTGCCATCCCTGCTGTGGAGTGGGAGAGGTAAGAAAATCAAATGCTGGGATTAGTAATATGATACACCATGGTAGGAAAATTCACCAGGGCTCATCTACTGGATCCTGAACACTCCTGAGAGCATATTCAAAGTCTTTTGCTTTGGTGTGGGGTTTTGAGTCCTCAAGACTGTTTGTGTTTTGTTTTGCTTTTACTTCTATTATTAGTATTAGTAGTACTAGTATTATTTCAGTTGACTGAGCTCCTTTGTGAGTTTTCCTCCACTGAGCCAGGGCAGAGGTTGCGTGCTCTCCCTGGGCTTGTGAAATGAACTGCAGAAAGATGTTAAGAGGACTAACGGAACTCTGGAGTAGATAACCTGAAGCCATATTAATTATTGATCATGTTAGCAGTTGATGAGCTGTGCTAAATTGATCTGCAGTAAGGTATCGCGAATTAAAAGCTGCTTAAATATTTAATTCCAGGCTCTTTCTATATGGCAGGAATTTGAATGAAAGGCTACACATGGGTCATGACTGGAATCAACTTTTCAGTAAAGACAAGCTCCCAGAATAAAATGTACTATCTAAATGTAAATCATGATTTATTACAGGAGAATTCTCTTGCATGTAAACATTGTAATGGAGGACTGGAAAGTTTTCCAGATGAAATTCTCTAAATATAAGATGATAGATGAGGATTTTCTTGTTATTGGTTCAATTCCTGCATACTTCACTGTAATTAAACCTTCTGTATCCGAGGTAGTGCATGAGACACTGTAGGGAGAGAGAGACAGACTGAAAGCCTGTAGGAAGTGAAGGAGGACTATTGGCTGAAACTCTGTAAGTATGCTGCAGCATTGCAATGCTGTACAGCTGGAGCACAGCTTGACTGAAATGAATCTGTAGATGACTGGTGAGAGGAAGTAAGGGGGCTAGTTCTGACACTGGAGATATATATATGTGTATATATGTCAGGCAAAGACTTTGCTGATGATTCTGCACAGGGGCTTGTAGTAGTAGGAGAGGACTCAAGGAGCCCGTGATGTGCGTGTCAGCAGTACTAGTTGAAGTGCCTTTGACAGCAAGATAAGTCCCATTGAATAAAAAGGTCAGCATCACTCCATCTGAAGAAGAGCCACTCAGATCTGCTCAGCATGCTCGGGTTATACTGCATTGTCCCGCAAACTTTTTTGAAGGATTTTGTGGTCTCATTAATACGGTTTTGAAGGTTGGCATGCATTCTTGAATGGCTTAGGTGCCACAGTTCCACATAAATCCTCCCAGCCTCTCCACAGAGGAACATCCTTAATGTAAAGCAGGCCTGGTCCTGAAGTAGAAACATGTTTTGTTTCAGCACTATAGAGCATACAGGCTAAAGTTATCTTTAATGAAGAGACTCCTGGCTACTGCAGTTTCTTCCTTCCCTTTCGTCTCACTTCATTCCTCCGTGTACCAGAGAGCACTTTGGCAGTTGAGGGTATTTGTCTTGTTTTTTCTCACCCTTCACAAAGGCTGTCCTCTGCTTAACATGCACATTTTTTCCTTCAGAGCCATTTTCCTCTGTAGGCTTTCTGAACTGGCCAGCTGCCAAACAGTAGGGTGAGCTGCATGAAAAAGCCTTGATCATTGACAGGCTGTCTTACAATTTCTTTCTTGTATTCAAGATGCAGATGGATGTTATTAGAAAGGTTTTTATTTCAAATGTGCGCGGCTTGTCCACATGCCCGAGATTAGTGCTCAATACTCATATAATGCTTTTCATCCTCAAAGGGGGTTTAAAAGCACCAGTCCCTGAGAGGTAGGTATGTGTGCTTTGTTATGTGCTTTGCAACAAGAAGGGACACATGTTAGTGACTTGTTCAAAGATGTGTCACACAGCAAGCATTATAAAGGAAGGAAATCTTTACACTTTCCTAATGTTCTTTTGTGATGTTTTCCTGTCTACAAAAAAAAAAAAAAATAAAATAAAAATCGTAAGATTTCACCATGGCAACACGTTTTTCCATACAAAAGAAGTGATTAGTGACTTCAAAAATTAAAATGCATCTCAGGTTAAAGTGCTACTAGATGAATATGCAGCATTTCTAAAATTTATTTGAGGTCAAACTTCCTCCTGCACTAAGCTAAAATTAATACAGTGGAACAGGAGCCTATGGGGATTATCAAAAGAGACCTAAGTTTGATGGAAGGTTTGGAGAGCTTGCCTCAAACCATACTTAAAACATGGTGAAATTATTTCAGGTGGAGTGATGAAAAATGCCCATCTTATTTGAAAGGACAATGCAAGATTTTTAACCCTCTGCTTTAACTGCACGGTTATGATTAAAACAGCTACAGTAACAGCAACAGTCCCAGGATGAAATCTCTTCTATTGAAAGTTCTTGTAATATTGTATCATCTCATCTTAGTGAGGAGGGCTGAAATAAGCTATAGCTGTGAAAGGCATCTTTATAATTGCGTGTTCTCACTGAGCATTTACTGGCATGACTATTCTGGCATGTTTTGCCTTGCACAGATGAGCCAACGAAAGTTTCAAGTGTTGACCAGCATGCATAATCTGGTTAGGGCCAAGATCACTCTGTGAGATGTGGTTTCTCTACTAGGTTGGCAAACCCTTGAAGGGTGTCTAATAATCGGCATTAAGGGTCTTTGTAGCCTTGGTGAACCTCAGGGCCTGTGTAGGTAGCTGGAGGAAATTGGTTTGGAAGACAATATTCAATTTAGCCCCATAAGGGATAGTTACTAAGGATGCAAGACAGTGAGACACTTGTCCTGAATAAACGAGCAGGGGCTGGCTGGAAGGAGACTATAAGCACAAGGATTTGCTTGACAGACATACACCTTCTTTATGCTTTCTGTGTAAATAAGTTGAGAATAGTCTGTCTTGCTCAAGTCACAAGGAGGGTAAAAGCTAGATAGGCTAAAGCAAGTGTTTATTTTAGTTCTGCTCCATCTTCCCTATTTTCTTTCTTTTTTTTTTTCCTCCTCCAGGGAGTAAATAATCACATAGTTATGTCCAGGCAAAAAAAGGACTCTGCAGCTTCTCAGGAAAAATGTTGACAATTAGTTACTGAACTTCCAGGTGTGGAAGAGAGGACTGCATGCTCATGCTGCACAGAGGAGGGTGAAGCAGTGGACTGGTATAAACTAATCATGCTTCTTTAACCCCCAGAATCAGATCCTATCTTTTTTCCATATTAATTCTACATTAATAAATCTAAGCTACCTCTTCCTGCTCTAGAAAAGGTATCTGGCGCCACAAATTACTCCTGAGAAAAGGGAAATGTGAGTTCTTTTCTGGTTTAAGAATTTAGAAACCAAAGATTTTCAAGCACTGTAGAATGGGTTCATGCCACCTGTTTACCAGATTTTTTCAAATGCCATCACATCTCCATCCACCTACAAATCCTGTTTTTATTTCCCACAAAATTACCCTTGGAACCGTTGGGTTTGAAGCTCCTGTCAAGTACATCTTGACTCCCACATGTACAGATCTTTTAAGACCTAGCCACAGTAGGAAAATACTTCCCTCACCTCAGTGCTCATCTCCAAGTTCAAATCAACTGAATATCTGCACTAGTATTGCTGGCTTCAAAGAAAAAAAGTGATGTTTTTTACTTGAAAGGCCCGTCTTTGCACTTTGAAGATGTGTTGATGTGTGGTTTTAAATGATTGTATTTACATTGCCCAGGATTATCAACTCACTATCTGGCTCAGAGATTTACATATATGGTGAGCAGGACCCTTACTGAAAGAGTGTTAGTGATGAGTGTGGTATAAGAATTACAGATACTTAAATATAACTTCAGAAAGTCTATTTGAATATATCAAAACGTCCATGCAAAAACTTAACTTCTGGAGCATTGGCATTATTTTTGGAACACAAGGGACCAAGATAAATTAATTAAAGATGAAATTTTCTCTTCTACTTCCAATTACTCCCTTCCACAGAAGAGGAATCTAACTTCATACCTGAACGCAATGGTAATGGGAAGGCTCGAGGCAAAATTGTTAGCTGTTCACATCAATGGAATGAAGTTATACAGCTCACTTCCACCTGAGAGGAGATCCATTTTAAAAGTTGGTGTGTTCCTAACAAGACACAGATGTTGCCATTGGGCAAACAGGGACAAGATAATTTTGCTAATTGTCATGCACCTCTTTCCCAGGGTCACAGCTGAGCGTATGTTAGAGAGGTCTCTTTTTCTGGGGGCTTAGAACAGCGCATCAGGTTTTCAGCTAGAGACCAAAAGGGGCATATCCATCCTCTGCCTCAGCACTGCAAGAGCTCCCTGCAACCCTGACAGGGATCAGAGACAGAAGCAGGTCCTTGGCTGTTTTAAACTGGAAGAATTTTGTTGATCTCAATGAAATACATGTTTTTTAATCAGCTGAGGACCTGGGCTGTAGCATGAGGATATACTGAAGCAGGAGAAATGATCCAACCTAGCTCTTCTCCTGCTGAAGAATCTGCTTCCTCACGTGGATCCTATTTGCACATGAACAAGTGTATGTGGGTGCCAATCCCCACCCTCCAGTTTATTTGCAGGAGGGTGCTTCTGAAGTATTTCAAGACTTCCTTATTCCAAGGACTAAATACACTGAGCTGTCTCCATTCCAGCTAGCTTGAGCCGAAAGAAGAGAAATGAAAATTAAATATGGATAACAAGAGTGTGCTTATTGTGGCGGTATTCAGGGATCTCATCATGCCAGTCAGATGCCAGCATATGTTTGCAGTCTTTTAAGTTGCTAATAGTACAAAAAAGGGAAAATTTCTACCAAGAGCTTCCCCCTGACAAAATGCTTAAGAGTTCCTATGTTTCAAAAATGTAAATTTTCCAAAGAGTCACTTGTTTTCCCACAAAACACTAATCTCATTCTGTACAATTCTGTACAATCTGTATAATTGCTTCTTACCTTTCAGTTTCTCTTCCTGACTTAGAAAACACATTTGCAAATACACTTGGCTGGCTACAGATCTTCACTGGCAACTTCCCTGTGGTAGTTGCTCTGCTAAGCACAGCAACAATAAGAGAGTTCATTTTTAATATTCTTTTGCTTAATTTGTTCTGGAAAAGTGAGCCAGACAGCAGGTTTCCATGTTTTTCCAGCAGTGGTACAACAAGGCAATGGTTGATGCTCTCAGCAGAAATCAGTTGTTACAAGCTAGGAAAATAGTGTTTATCACAGCTAGCTGCTGAATTTTTTAAAAGTACTGTAAGTATCTGCTTCATAAATGAAATGAATAGCAAAATTAACACAAAAATAATGAGGGAAAAGGATAATTTATTACTGTCTGTCTTAAATGGAGGTAACACAAGGAATACTTTGTGGAAATTTCTACCACACAGTTAGTGACTTCCTAGCTGTGCAGTACTGCTTATTTTTGTCTGTTCCTTCATGCATCTGTTTTTGTATTAGTCAAGGATTTCTTGCTTCAACTTAATTTAATGCTTGAATTTATCATTGTGTATTTGTACAGAAGCTGAAGGTCCTAGTGAAAATAGAGATCTCTTTGTAGTTTGTTCTTTGCAAATAAAAAGGAATAGAAGTCTTAATTTTCACTGCTGACATTAATGGTGATTGTAGGATGTCATGATGTCTGTGTGAAACAAGCTTGGTCATAATAATGTTTTGAACACAAACTATATATATGTTTTCTGTGATCTTTCTAATAGGAGTATTCTTGGACTAGGGATGCAGTGACCAGTTCTGCATACACAACGTTAGGCATATTGTTGTTAAATTGTTCAGAACAAACATGGCTGATTCTATGATAAACTTACTGGTAGCTTACCTCAGTGTTGATCTGTCTGGAATATGCTTTCTTGGGATAAGGTAAAATTAGATTTTAATGCTGTTTTATTCCAGATGCTGGGTGTTTTTTTCTTGGAAAATGAATGGAACATAAACTGATGGAGTGTGGTATCACTGATTTGTAAGTAATAAAAATACTAACTTTTCTAGCATTTTCTGAGCTTAAGGTTGATTCTAGCCATTTAAATTGGTACCTAGTAGTTGTCACATTATGATATAGGTGTGAATATGCTTTGCCAGGATATGTATGCACAGCACAGAAACATTCACTTCAGTTCACACCCACACATCCCCATATGCTTTGAACAGATCTAAACGGTGACTGAAGGATAAAGAAGACTGAACCGCATAAACATTATACACAATGACTATTAATTTCAAAGCAAGGGAATAATTTATAAAGGTTGTTAGGAAGCAATGTAAATGCAAATGCTCTTCTAATAAGCACCAGTAGTATCATGTTGGAACATATTTGTGATGCAGTATATAGCGTGTTAAAGCAAGTGGGAAAGAGCATGGATGATTTCTGCAGAAGATGGTGACAAGACTAAAGAGGTGGAAGCTGACGGGAATGTGGCATTCGGGAACTCAGTCCAAGGAATAGTTCTAGCATGAGCTGACTTAGCAGTGCAGCAAGCAGTGTGTGGTGGCTGAGCCAGAACAGGCAATATCTGGAATAATTAATCAATAATTCATTACAGAAAAATGCTACCAGCTGTAAACTTAATTTGTAGAATAATGTCCTGCGGTAATGCCAAAAGTTATAAATATAGTCATATTTTTTGAAAGAGTTAGGACAGACTGAAGCCAAACACTTCAATCATATATAATAAAGCTCACTTTAAAAAACAAAAAAAAGCGTTTCTGATGGTAGGCAGTGAAAATTAGTCAATCAGTATAGAATCCTAATACTGAAAATAGCACATTTGGAATGAAAAGTCTTAATACCAATGTTAACAACAATCTTTTCTCTTATAAATATTTCATATCTTTGTGCTTGAATAAAATTCCTACCTTCTATGTGTTTTATTTTCCTTGCAGAGCTTTACATGTTTTATTTATCATTCTGCATGGTCTATTAGATAACTTCATCATCTTCTAGTGTTTTATGAAAAGCCCTGTTGCTGGATGTTAATAATTATCTGGCTATTTATCATTAATACATATGAGTTAAATTCTTTTAAAGATTTGGTCAACTTTGAATAAATAATAATCCTGTCTGGACTGACTTTTTGGCAATTTCCCTTTTTCATACTTCGGCAAAATCACTTTATGTTAAAATAATCAAAAGATTATTTTAAACAAGTCAATTATAGTTATTTTAGTAGAGGTTTGCATTTTCTTTTAGGAAATATATTGGTTTAAAAGCAAACCATCAAAATATAAATTTGGGCTTTAATCTGTTCCATAATGAAAACTTCAAAGGCAGATAATAAGGATGAAATATTTTTTCCTTATTTAGGATGATATTTTCTGAAATAGAATATTAGAAATATATGTGACAGTGCATATATAGTTCACAAAACTGTGTCATGATATACTTTGGGCAGTTGAACTCTTTCCTATGCATATTTTACCTGTATTACATTATGCATGATTATTTGGAAAGGAGTGGCGAGCATGTTTTAACCTATTTATCATTCAGAAAGTGTTGTCTATCTACAAAGACCTTGTTTTTAGTCTGTCTGATACTTTTGCACTGCGTAGTGGGCACCTCTCCTTGTTGGCAGCCTGTCTCAGAGTGCACCAGCATGGAAGCACAGACTTATTGCTGTGAGCTTTGCACCATTTCACTGTAACAACCTCTTTCACTAAACCTCCTGATAATGACAGAAGATGCTATTTGACTGTTTCTATGTCTGTGATTAATTTTCTTTTTAAAAAACTCAAAATGCTGTTTGTTAGTGTTATATGTAAGTGCACTTTACAGTGCTTTTCTTATATCTCAGAATACCTAAGAAGTTCTGTCGATATCTTTGTGCCTCTTTCCACAGAAGTAGAATCTGGAGCAGATGATTGCTGAAGCAATACAAATTTTGGCCACCTTTCCTTTGGTCTGGGCACCTTTATCAGTGTAGCTGGAGGCAATACTGTGTGGGCTGTGACTTTCTCTTCAAAGACCATGTAAATACTTGGACAGTTAGCTTATTCTGCTCCTTAGGCTGCCACTGTTAGTATTAAACCAACTAGCTAAAGCTGGTTTGCATACATTTGCAACTACAGCAGGAGTCGAATGATAAATATTCCCAAACGTGGCTATGCAAATAGTAGCAAATTCTGAACAAATGTATGAAATGCATTATAGTAGTCACAAATTCTTCCTGGTTTTCTGTAAGAAAAAAAAAGGACAAAAAAAGACAAAAAGCCCCACAAATTTGCTTTATGGCACAGGCCAAGTTCTCTTTTATAACCTTCAGAATGTTGTATTGCCTTACAAGTACAAAAGGACCATAAACCATAAACGTAAAGGTTCCTATATTCAAGGACTATTTTAGCATGGACTTTGTTAAGGCACTGACATCTTCCTATCCTACCCTCTGGTTCAGGGACACAGAATGATGGTTATATGCTGTGTCTGTACATTAGTGATAGCTAATTGACAATTGCCACATAACTAGAGGATATTGTGTAAAAAAAATCTAACAAAGCAAACAAACAACCCCACATGCCCTTCATCATGTTGTAAAAGGTGATAAAAGCTGGAGCTACAAATGGTAATAATCCCATCCGTGTATAAATCCCAGAATGTGAGATGCAGCATTCTTGGAAACGTTGCCATTGCAAAAGACGAGCATAGAGGCTAAGCTTGTTTGAAGGAGATAGTCTCCACTTGGTAGTGGCCTTACTTGTACCTGAAATCATTCATCTTTGACTTAAAATCCAACAAGATTGGCTTTTGCCCAGCCCAGTGGGAATAGCTACTGCTCTCAAGGTCAGCTCTGGAGTGGTTTGCCAGGCCAGAATCTCTGCTCCCTTTTACTGTCCACCACCACAAGTGGTCATGTAAGTAACTTTCTTGCTGAGAAGGAGCTGGGAAGCAGATCGGCAGTTTTGAGGGCTGGAGCTCAGCCGCTTGGATCTGCTTCATCTGCCATGCTGTCTCCAGAAGATAGATGAGAAAAAGTATTTATCCAAAGAAGGGATAAAAGGACATCCATGGGTTTATATCTATACTGACTTTATCTCATTTACTAAACTCCCCAA